AACGTACAAAATTGAGCATAGAATTACGTAGTTGCGTTTTCTAGAAGTACAGACATAGCCCAACAGATAACCTATTTATATTTGATTGAAGTCGATTTATATAACTTATGGATATATAGGTAGATTCACATTTAGATAAATATCACATATTTTATTTCATCCAATTTCATGTTAATAGTCCTGTTTAATATATCCATAGTGGTGAAGGGTATCATATAGTCGGCCCCGTCCGACTTTACTACTTTCCTTACTGGTTTATTTATTTATTTATTTTTTTTTTTGCTCAACATTTGTTAGCGGACCATTTTCTGAATGATTTCATAGAAAAAATAACAACTGTTCTTAATGGGAATTTTTTTATTAATATTTTATTAGCCATAGTCCTACGTCACCTTTTTCGAAGCACGTTTTTGGGCCATGACGTGATGGAGAACCTCAAAAACAAAAACATTTTTTATTTTTATTTTATTTGTCTACCCAGTTTTTTGTTGTTGTTAACCAGAGCTAAAAACATTGCGTGGTTAGATTGTATGTGAGTAGAATAATTCGGGATAGACAGTCGGACGGACGCACGTCAAGTGGTGGCAAACGGTAGGCCTCTAAAAACAAATATTTTTTTTCTAATAGCCAACCGACAGACATTATTCCCAGTTCTACTTTTGTTAACGGTGCCATCTAACTAACAATTTACGAGGTTTTCTACATCAGCATTTTGTGTGTGTGTGTGTGTTTAGCATTTCTACGTGTGGGTTTATTTGGTGAAAATTCATATATAAATATTATTATTTTTTTTTGTTTTTGCTGTCAGCGTCGCTTCTCTGGGAACAAAAAAAATATTCCATACCAGACAGAGCCCAGTCGTGTCAATGTAATTTTGAATATCTGTTGACCTAATTCTGAAAACTAAACCGCCAACAAACAAATTTGTATTGGTATATGAAAACCAGTAGAATACGAAGTTTGAAAGTTGTTACGACGTTAAAAATAGAATGCTATGTCCTAACAAGGACTTAAGTTAAAAACAAGTAAAAACCAGTGAGCGGAGCAGTATAGTCGGACGGGGCCGACCATACGATACCCTACACAACTTCCATGAAAATGTAATTTGGTGTGGTTCTATATTCTGAGATTGGGCAATATTTCGCGATATTTGCACATTTTTGACTGGATAGAAGTCAGCAAATGTGACTAATAATCAGTACAACACCTCTTATTACTTGTCCAGATTCTCTTCACCGTGGGTTGTGTTTTGATGTTCGGCTTTCGATTCGAAAAGTACAAATAATTAAGTTTTCGGTCCACTTCATCCGAAAAATATTATCTGATCATCACCTAACATTTTAGGCGTTATCCTTGACCATAACTGGAACCTCATGGAAATTTCAAAGCGATCAACGCTACATTTCCGCCCTCCAGTGTGGTAATAGGTTACTAAATAATATATGAATATACGTAAGCACCTGTAAATATTTAAGTGTAACTCCCGCATCCAAATACCTACGACAATATAATTGGTATCAATTTAAAGGTCAACCACTCCTCTTGGATATACTATCAACTTCTCGGGTCTATGTCCTTCAGTGGTAAATATATACGCTATAGAATACAAATTTTGTCATTTTTCACACAAAAGTTAGGGTCCATTTGACCCGCTAAATATTGACCGATATTTATCAAAACAGTCATGGTTATTCTTTGGCCCGATCCCCTTCTCCATGCAAAAATTCGCGGTGTTTGGACCATAATTGCGGCCTCTGGAGCGACCAGAAAACCCGACAAAAATAAGGTTTTTGGTCCATTTCATCCCCTAAATATTAACCGATTTTTTCCAAAAACAATAGGGGTCTTCGTTGACCAGACCCCATTCTACATGCAAAATTTCGTGAAGATTGGTCCATAAATGTGGCCTGTATCGTGTTTACAACTTATAATGGACAGACGGACGGACGGACACACATATCTAGATCGACTCAGCTAGTCGAGATATGACCATCGGTATACTTAAAGGTGGGTCTAGGACCAATATTTCGCATCGTTACAAACTTTTGGGGCTGCACAAAGCTATAATACCCTGACAACATAGTTGTGTATGGTATAAAAATCATTTTGAATTCGCTACTAAATAAATTTGCTGCAAAAATTCGATAATTAAGCTAGGCTCGAAAGAGCATAAAAAAGTCATTATATGGGACCTATATATAAATCTGAACCGATTTTCACGAAATTTAAAACACATCTTTCTAGACTTATTTCATTACGCTATGCCAAATTTCGTGCAAACCTGAGGATATATAAGGACTTTGGTGCACTACTTACCTAAAATCGGACAAAAATATATATGGGACTTATGGGAGCTATATCTAAATCTGAACCGATTTTTTTCAATTTCAATAGGGTTAATCCTTGGGCCAAATAAGTGAACTGTGCCAAATTTCATCGAAATCGGATCACAAATGCGACCTGTACTTTTTTGTGATCGCAAAAATACATGGACGGACGGACAGACGGACATGCATAAATCTGCTTAGAAAGTGATTGTATGCATATTCTCAAAAGGAACCATGTGTCTATCTCGTTTCCTTTTGCCTGTTACAAACACATGCACAAAGACATAATACCCTGTACCACATATTTATAAACTATTGACCCTTTGTGGTAGAGGTAGCATTAGAAGTGGACCAATGGATCGATCCCACCTTCGGACTTGATCTAGGCTTGATAAAGAAAGTATTTTGTGCAAAGTTTGGTTCAAATCGGACATTCCATTTGTCTTATATTGGATTTATAAATATTGAGGTACCAAATAGGGGAGGTACCAGAAGGAGTGGTGGTAGATGTTGACAAATGGGTCGCATCCTCGGATATGGGGGCTAACATATGACCGATATTTATAATATTTAGTGGAGCGATTTAATACCCAATAAGAACCCAATGTACCAAATTTCAGCCAATTCAGTTGAAAAACGCGCTCAAGAACCCCAAAATAGGGGGTATCCTTATATTGGGACTACCAAAAATAATTATCCTATATTTATAATTTTTAGTGGATGGATTTGTTGCCACCCAATAAGAACTTAAAGTAATAAAATTACATCCAATTCGATCGAAAAATGCGATCAAAACCCACAAAAATACCGAAAATAAGGAGAACCTCCATATGGGGGTTACCCGAAAAAGTGGACCTATATTTATAATTTTTTGTGGAGCGATTTTCTACTCAATAAGAACCCATTAGACCAAATTTCAGCAAATTTGGCTGAAAAGCACACTTAAGAACCCCAAAATACCGAAAAGTGGGGGTACCTTATATGGGAGCTACCAGAAAAAGTGCATCGATATTTATAATTTCTGGTGGAGATATTTGGTACACAATAGAAAGCCATTTCATTAAATTTCAGCAAATTTGGTTGAAAACTGCGCCCAAGAACCCTTACAGGAAATTTACATATAATATATAATTATACCAGAAGAAGTGGACCGATATTCCCCATCTTCGAACATGAACTTGACGGACATTTGTAAACCGACTCCAAAGTGCCTTCAACGATTTGATTCAAAAATGGGTCTAAACTCAATATTTCGATGTGGCACAACATCCTTTTCACAGACCTTACAAATACCGATCGAAGTCATTCGAATCACTTTTTCAGCTGTACTGGTTTTCACTTTTTTTCAGTAGCTCGATTTGTACCATTTTATGGGTAATTCTGCTTTTCCAATGTCCTTGAAATCACTCTTCCTTCCACTCACTGAAATGAGGATTTCCTTTGTTGGTGGCTTAGAAGATGTTTCGACAAGGGCTTGGTATTAAGGCTGAGCAAGGTATAGACCAGTACAGATATGAAGAATCGATATTCTGACTGAAAACCGTAACTTCCCGGGTAGCATACAGTTTAGCAATCCCTTCGGAAAGAGCGTCGAACATATTTCCGGACCAATATTTTTTAAAACTTGTTACCCTTCTGATATTCCCAAAATTTTTAAGGGTCCATGTAATTCTTCTGAGATTTCTACAGTAGTTCGATTTAATAGAAGTGAAATTTGAATTGGATCCGTTGTGGGAAATACAACTTTTTCGAATGCATTTTCGGAAAGAGCATCGAAAATGCTTCTAGACCATAACCGAACTTGTAACCCTACTGAGATTATCGATATAATTTTTTTTTTTTTTTTTTTAACCTCTCTTTGACCCTTTCTATTTTAAGCCACCCACTCTATTTTTAGACCACGCACTCTGAAATAATGCTTTTCAGAGCATACATAATAATAATATAATAATAATACCCGACCAATACTCTTCATTTTTATTTCGTAATCGGATTAGTTGTTGTTCTAAATTATTTGCAAATCGTATCAATATCTCAAGGTCATAAAAAAGAGACATTTTGGAGAAGTATGCACAATGGGAGTTTAGTGCACCATTTACAGAAAATCGGTGGAACAATTTATTAAGTACACACACATACATTCATACCCTCAGATATATCCATTAAAAACCGATAAGATAATCATTTTATCCGCATGGTGGTTGTGGTGGGTGGTATTGACCTAATTTTATGGGAAAAAAATCAAACAGACTACAGAATGCGGAACCAGCACAGCACAGCACTCCTCACCACCACTAAAACACACACCCTCCCAAACAAATTTGCCATGGTAAAAACCATTGAACCTATCGAATGACCCAGTTATCGAATAGAGTTGGGGAGGAAATATGGAGGACAGGGAAATATTATTTAATAACACAAACAAACAATGACACACCTGGTTGCAAGACACGACAAGGTTATCCTTTCGTCGTACTATCACTTTTTCAAATCAAATTTATCGATTACACCTTTCAATCACATTCGGAACGGAGTACACAATTTTGCTATTAAATTTCATCATTTAATTTGTTCTTCTTCTCTTTTCAGAAAAAATAGTATTGGAACCATTTTCCGGGAATTCATCAGCCACCTCCCAAAGTGCTACATTGACGCCCAAGCGCCCGCCTTACCCCGCCATTTTTTTAGCAACGCCTGCTAATTGATTTTAAACCGAGACGTCGGACAATTGCTTAAACTGTTTTACGTGGAAGGGTATGGTATATTTTCTGGGGGACTGGGGCATGGGAGATTCTGACTGTGCGTCATATCATCAACATGTTCCAAATACAATACAACAACATCATCATCAACACCAACACCACCATCAACAGCAATATCAGCATAATGAGCATGAATTGCAACAACAACAACTCCATCATCATAACCAACAACAACAACAACATGTTGGCCAAGTTGCCCCAACTTTAAATCAATTGTCGCCATTGCAGTTTGGTAGTACAACAGCAACAGCTGGTACAGCAGCAGCAGCATATTTGAGTAGTGTCGGCTCAACAACAACAACACCACCCTCAACGGTTACATCGCCAACCAAGAGCTGCAGCAACACCACCACCACTACAACACAACAACCCCAACAACATGTTGCCACAAGCTCTTTGGTCACTGCCAATTTGCAGCAATTGTCTGTAAGCAGCAACAATCCGACAACCCAACAACAATCTCATTCATTGGCCAGTGCTGCCGCAGCCCTACATCAGTATTTAGGACATCATCAACGTCAACGTTCTGAATCCTGTGTCGGTTTAACCACAACCTCCACCACCAACAACAGCAGCAGCGGCAACAATCATTGCAGTGCTGTTGATTTTATACGGGCCAAACATGCAATCTCTGAGACGTTGTCCTCCAACGCGATTGGCAATAAAAACAATTGCACAACAACAACAACACCGGGCAATTTTAATCTCAATGGAGCAACTTTAGCCTCGGCAGCTGCCCAACAGTCGTTTAAACAACCCCAACAACAACAGCATCATCATCAGTTCCAGACCCAATTAAGCAAGGATCATTTGGAAAGTGAAGATGAAGTTGCACTGCAGCCGCTATCAAATCAGGTGAGAGGATATGTGTTGATATTTGTTTCGATGAATTATTAATTTAATTTTGAATTTTAGAGTCAAATAGGAAGGGGTGGCTTAGAGAGTGAAAAATGTGATATGGGAGCTATATATAAATTTGAAACGATTTCAACAAAACTTAACACACGTCATTTTAAACTCAATACAGTGCGGTATTTCAAATTTCATCTGAATCGAACAAACATAGGTTCTTTGGGTCACCATTTTCATAAAATCGGACAAACATATGTATGACAGCTACATCTAAATCTGAACCGATTTTCACGAAATTTAACATACGTCATTCTAAGCTCAAATCAATTCGCTATGCAAAATTTCATCTCAATCGGACAAACATTGGAAGTTTGGTGCATCATTTACATAAAATCGGACGAAAATATATATGGGAGCTGTATCAAAATTCGAACCGATTTTCACAAAACTTAACACACATCATTCTAGACTCAGTTCAGTACGCTGTGCATAATTTCATGTCAATCGAACAAACATGGGATGTTTGGCGCACCATTTACATCAAGTCGGACGAAAATATGTATGGGAGCTATATCTAAATCTGTACCGATTTTCACGAAACTTAACACACGTCATTCTAGACCCAATTCAATACACTCTGCCAAATTTCGTGGAAATCGAACAAACATAGGCTCTTTGGTGCACCATTTACATAAAATCAAACGAAAATATATATGAGAGCTATATCTAAATCTGAACCGATTTCAACAAAACTTCGCATACATCAATCTGTAACTAATTCAATACGATGTGCAAAATTTCGTCTCAATCGGACAAATATTGGGTGCTTTGTGCGCCATTTACATAAAATCGGACGAACATATACAGTGGCTCCATCGAATAATCGGACAAGTGTTTGTCAGATATAATAATGCTATACATTTCAAAAAAATGTCTACATGTGTAGTTTTTTTTCGCCTTTAGTTACACATTACTTACTTATATTTCTGAACTATACAAAAAGCAACAACTTTCCTAGTGATAAAAGTAAATTTCGTCAGAAAGACAAAATTAACTCAATTTATTGTGTTCAACGCAAAATCGGACAAAACAAAGTATCAATGTTAAAAGTCCCGTTATTATGCAAATATGAACTTCAAAGCTGTATTTTGTTTGTCGTATTCATTTGTAAATTGCATTTAGATCAAGAAAGTGGTAAAACTTAATAAAAATAAATTTAAATGGCTCCAAAAGGGAAAAAATTCAGTGTGGAAATCAGACAATTAATAGATAAATTGAATTATGAAGGTAAAACAGTAAGAGAAATTGCCGTATTGGTTGGAATGAATAAATCTACTGTCCACGACATTATAAAGAGGTTCCGTGATGAGTTCAGATTGACCAATAAAAGCAGAGAAGGTCAATGGAAGATATTGAATGAGCGAGAAGAGCGTTCGATATTAAAAGAAATAAAACAATATCCATTTAAAAGCGCAAAAGAACTTAAAATAAATTTAAAAACTCGCACTTGAAAAGTTGTGTGCCTAAATACTATTCGCAATACATTACATAAATATGATTATTATGGAAGAGTTGCAAGAAAAAAAGCATTTATAAGCCTTAAAAATAAAAACAGTAGAATAAAATATGCCAAGGAGTATTTACTAAAATTAGAAGATTTTTGGAAGCAGGTAATTTGATGATAGACCATCTTTAAATACATTTCTATTGATAGTTATCATTATATTAAGGATCTGTTTACTGACGAAAGCAAATTTAATTCGCACGGATCAGATGGAAAGATGTATGTGTGGCGTAAGCCAAATGCTGAATTTAATCATAAGAATACAAAAGCCACTGTTAAGCACGGATGAGGTTCTGTTATGTTTTGGGTCTGCATGTCGAGTGCGGGAATATACAATTTGCATTTTATTGATGGTAAAATGGACAAATTTGTCTACCTCAACATTTTAAAACAAAATGTAAATCAAAGTGCAGACAAATTGGGTATCGCGAACAACTTTGCCTTTTATCAAGACAACGATCCCAAGCACACATCAGGTGTTGCAAAGCTTTGGTTGATCCATAACTGTCCCAAACTTATACAAACACCTGCACAGAGCCCAGACCTTAACGTAATTGAGCATCTTTGCGAAGAATTAGCTAGAAGAGTGTATGGAAAAAATGTAACTCCTTGGTACAGCTTAAGGAGGCTTTACTGAAATCGTGGAACTCCATAGAGCCGGAGGTATGCCAGAATTTGGTCAAATCAATACCGAAGCGTTTACAGGCCGTTCTGGTCAACAAAGAATATGCAACTAAATATTAATTTCTCGATTTTTTGCATTTTTTGACATTGATACTTTGCATTGTCCGATTTTGCGTTGAGCACAATAAATTGAGTTAATTTTGTTTTTCTGGCGAAATTTACTGTTATCACTAGGAAAGTTGTTGTTTTTTGTATTGTTCAGAAATGTAAGTAAGTAATGTGTAAATAAAAGCGAAAAAAACTACACATTTAAACAATTTTTTTGAAATGTATAGCATTATTATATCTGACAACCACTTGTCCGATTATTCGATGGAGCCACTGTATATGGTAGCTATATCGAAATCTATATCGATTTCAACAAAACTTCACATACGACACTCTTTCCCTAATTCAGTACGCTGTGCAAATTTTTGTCTCAATCGGACAAACCTTGGGAGTTTGGTACACCATTTACATAAAATTGGACGAAAATATATATGGGAGCTATATCAAAATTCGAACCGATGTACACGAAACTTTGCACACATCATTCTAGACTCAATTCAATACACTATTCCAAATTTCGTGTAAATCAAAAATTTCGTGTAAATATCTAAATCTGAACCGATTTTCACGAATTTAATATTTTATTCTATAATTCGATATTCTAATGGCATTCCTTTTATATTAAATTTGCTAATCTGTTTGCAACACCTCGAAATATTTACCTGAGACTTCAAAAAGAATATAAATTCTTCATTCTATGCCGATTTATGCATGTCTGTCTGTCTGTCTGTCTGTTGAAATCACGATATAGCTCGCAATATTTAAGATAGAACCTTGAAATTTTGCACATGCATTACAATAACTCCTTGGATGTTTGGTATTGAAAATTAAATATACCGGTCCACGTTTTCATATAGCACCCATTAGACGGTACCTCCCAACTTTGGGTATTCCCCAATATTCGATACTTTGCCGATGTTGGGGCCCCTTTTTTAACTAAATAGGCTGTATTTTGGCATTTTGAATGCCCACATTCGGTACCGAATCTACTTACCAAAAATTATCAATATTGGTCAACTTTTTAATATAGCTCCCATATAACGGCCCTCCAAATATTCCGTATTTAATTATGTTGTGCTCTTTTTTCCAACCCAATAGGCTGTAATTTGGTATTTTAGGTTCTCATTTGGTTATACATCCTTCTACCAAAAATGATGAATATTGGTCCACTTTTTTACGATAGTCTCCCATATAATGATACCCCAAATTTCGATATTTTGGGGATTTGTTTTCACTTTTTGCACCGAATTGTCTGTAATTTGGTATTTTGGGTAAACATTGGGTAACACACCATCCTACAGAAAATTTTCAATATTGGTAAACTTTTTTCGTTAGCCCCATATAAAGGTACATCCTAAATTTCGATATTTTGAAGAGCTTGGGCGCATTTTTCAAACGATTTGGCTGTAAATTGGTATTTGGGGTAATCATTGGGTAATATATCCTCGAACAAAAAGTTATCAATATTGGTAAACTTTTTACGCTAGCCCCCATATAACGATACCTCCAAATTTCGATATTTTGGGGAGCTTGGGCGCATTTTTCAACCGAATCGACTGTATTTTGGTATTTTGGGTTCTCATTGGGTAACACGTCATCCTACCAAAAAATATTCAATATTGGTTAAGTTTTTACGATAGCCCCCATATAACGATAACCCCAAATTTCTATTTTTTGGGGAGCTTGGTTGCATTTTTCAACCGGATTGTCTCTAATTTGGTATTTTGGGTTCTCATTGGGTAACACAACCTTCTACCAAAAATAATCAATATTGGTTAAGTTTTTACGATAGCCCCCTTATAACGATACCTCCAAATCTCGATATTTTGGGGGAGCTTGTGCACATCTTACAACCGAATTGTCTGTAATTTGGTATTTTGGGTTCTCATTGGATACCACATGTTCCTACTAAAAATTATTAATATTGGTAAACTTTTTACCTTAGCCTCCATATAACGGTACCTCCCAAATTTTGGTAATATTGGGATTTTTTGCACTTTTTTCCAACCGAATTAGCTGTAGTTTGGTATTTTGGGTTCTCATTCTGTAACGTATCCTCTTACCAAGAATGATCAATATTAGTAAAATTTTTACCATAGCCACCATTAAAGGTACCTACCAAATTTCGCCATCGACTTGGTCTTGCTTTTTTTGTTTTTATTTTTTTTTTTTCGGTTAATGGATATGTATCCAAATTCCATTCATCTAATTATCATTACAAATCATATTTCATTTTAATATTCCGTAATTAAATAAACTTTGCCTTGGTCTTTGTTTAAAAATAAATTCCAAGTTTTTTGTGTCTATAATTTATTACTGAAACTGGAGTATATAGAGGGGCGTTGTTTACCATAAACAATAATGGAATATGAAAACTTGCTTACATGGCACAAAAAGAAGAAATATGACAACCTAAGCTAACAGCCAAATGGACAGTAACAGCAATAGAAACAAAGAATATTTATTTTATTCAAAAAAAAAATATGAAATGAAGCCAACATTTATCAAGAAATGGAACAGCAACTGTGTGGAAAACAAATGGAGACTTTTATGCTGGGCATTATTATAAACAAAAGAATATTGGGTGACATATGTTTGTATATAATGTTAACCGATGGCAGAATATATTACGTTATAGATTAGAAGACAGATCTGTTGGTCATCTATAACAGGACTTATCTAAATCTCAACCGACTTCAACGAAATCTGCCGGAGATTAATCGAAAGATATATAGGGACTTTAGAACACCATTTACATAAAACCGGACGAGCACATGTATGACAGCTATATGTAAATCTGAACCGATTTTCATGAAACTTAGCACACATCATTCTATACTCAATTCAGTGCACTATGCAAAATTTCTGGTAAATCTAATGAAATACAGGGGCTTTAGTGCACCATTTACATAAAATCGAACGAAAATATATATGGGAGCTATTTTTAAACTGAACAGATTTTCACGAAACTTAACACATGTCATTCTAGACTCAATTCAGTACGCTACGCCAAACTTTGTCCAAATCGAAAGATATATAGGGATTTTGGTACACCATTTACATTAAATCGGGCGAAAATTTATATGGGAGGTATATCTAAATCTGAAGAGATCATCACGAAACTTTACACACATCATTCTAGTATTTTTATGTGAATACCGATTAGTCTCCTATTAGAAGTTATTTTGGTGGAAACCCTATTATTTCTATATGTATTTATAATTTTTTTGTACTAATTCCCCTTTTTTTTTTGGTTTTACTTTCCAGGTCGGAGGACACACCCGCCTATTGTTGCTTAATCAATCGACTGTCATCAAGCCATTGAATTTGCGTGAATTGGATTTTTATCAAAACATTCCGCAGGATATACAGAAGTTTGTTCCCAAATATAAAGGTAAGCCTTTGATCCATTTTTCAAACAATCCAAACATATTTTTTTTTTGTTCAATTTCTAAGCCAAATGTGATAAAAAAAGAAACCAAACAAAATAAACTTTATAAATTATTATCTACCATACCAACAACTTCTTCGTTTCCATCAAAACATTTCATGATCATTGCTATTGCAAAAAAAAAAAACAAATGAATATCAAAATATATTAAAACAACATTGTATGTATGTATTAATGTTTGTCTATATATCATGTGTAAATAAAGTTTAAAAAAAGAAAACAAAATAAACATAAAAAATATAGAAAAATTAAAAAAAAAAACGAAAAGACATTATAAACATTTTTATTCTAAATATTTATATGTTTCATATATAGACATTTACTTATCATTTATAATATATTTTAGTGAACAAAAAAAAACAAAGTAGCTATTACATTTGTTGAAATCAATCATCACCATTCACAACCACTTCCCTTACATTTTATGTAAAATGTAATTGTTTAAATGTTTAAAAGCCAAATAGAAAAAAAATAAAACAAATCATCAAATGAATAGAAAAAATACTATAGATTCAAATTTGTTTATAAAAAAGAAATAATACTATTTTTTATATATTCGAAACAAGTGGGAAAACACACAATACTAGAAATGCAAAAATAAATACAAATAAAAATCTCTAGCAAACAACATCACTTACAACTGTGATTTGTTTTCCTTACATTACGTCTTATTTTATATTTTTATATATTATATTATTCTTTCTTTCATTATTTACTTTTAGTGAGCCCATCTCCTCCTTTTTTATATATTCTCTAGAGACATACAGATTTATTATTTCGTTTTGTATAACAAATATAAAAATTTATAAACAAAATGTGTTTTCTAATATACATATAAAGTAATTTAAGCAAATATCTGTGATATAAATATAAATAAACCAAAGATAATAATAAAATGACTGACACTGCCTTAGATTTTAATTACAATATTTATTCAAGAAAAAAACTATTTTTATAACTTATATACTCGTACACTTATATACAATTTATATTTATATTTTGCAAAACAAATAATAATAACGAAATAAACTTGAAACGTAGCAAATAAACCTTTTAAACATTCCATCATAAATTCATTTGCTTTGTGCTTGCAAATATACTGCCCTGTCTTCTATTTACAAAACTAAAAATAAATCAACACAATATTTAAACGCGGGAAATAAAAAAAAACAACAACTACGGGAGTGTACATAGTTTAGAATTATATTTTATACCAATACAAAAAATCTTTAGAATAGTTTTGTTTTTGTTAGACTAGGTTGGAAGGTTCAAAGTGAAAAATACATAGTATATCTAGTTCTGGACTACAATCCGGGATACAAACTTCTCAGAGAATATAATAAAGATTCATTAGAAGAGCGTCCTACAAATATACCAATATGGAAAGAGAAACCCCTTAACATTCATTTCAACATTTCTCTATATGAATTATAATCGGTCTTCTACAAGTCTTTTTCTAAGTTCTTTTTAATAAGAGCTCCTGGTTATCTATATGGAGTTCAATAAATTTCTATCACATAAGACATTTCCAAGAAGTCATATTGGTAATCTATAAGAACACCTATTGGTCTTTTATACGATTTTTTGCACTTCCAGGAGTGTCTAATTCCAATTGGTGATTTAAAAGACATTCTGATTCTTTTATAAGAAGTCGTATTGCTTATTTAAAAGAAGACATGCGATTTATTGCCCTTCAAAGATGAGGAGGACGAAAGTCGTTTGGATTTCTATAATGCTATGTATTACTCTTCTATAAGAAAATATGTATATCGGTCCTCTATAAATAGACCTATTGCTCTGTTATAATATGACAGTCTTGTCGTTTACAAAACTACCTATAATCCTTGATACATTTTTGAAAAGGATACTTCTTAAGGAAGCTAGTTTGACTTTTATAAAAAGACATGAATCTATAAAAGACTTATTGCCATTTTATAAAAAGCACTAATAATCTAAAAAAATCATTCAAAAGAAGATTTATTCCCTGAGATTTCAATTGCGATTTTATGTGTTGATACATTTGTCATCTATGAAATGACTATTAAGAAACTATGTTTATTTATGAGTAGAGCTATTGGTCTTCTATGAAATAAACTAACGAATTTTCATAAAAATGGCCTTCTATAGAATACCAACAGAATTTCTAATCAGTTTTTCATGAAAACTTCCATAGGCTTCTATTGTTGATCTATGTCCTACTTGCCTTCTAATAAGATGGCCTATTGGCATTCTTCAAGAATAAGTTAAACCTCCTCTATTAGAGCACGTCTAGGAGAAGACGTATTTAAAGTCTTTAAACCTTTTTGTGGACGGAATTGGCGGAACACGTCCGTCTTTTGTAGTCTTGCTAAGCAAATATTTATCTATTACTGGTTGTGTTTCCTGAAATGTTCTAACACTCTTCGTGAAATTTGATGTCGTAAATTTGTTTTAATTTAGATCTGTTATGTTCCACGGTGCGTGTTCTTAATATCTCCGTATATGGCAATGCCTCTGGAGTGTCCTCTTCATTGGAATATAATCTTTTATAAATATCTCATACCCTCATTGTATCCGACAATATTTTTTGATAGATATGTTCCCTTTGTTTTTCTGTTGGGGTCTTCTTGGGAACATCCATCCGTCTCTGTGCAATGACTATAAGTAATGATCCCCTGTGCTGAAGTTCTATGGAATATACATAAATTACCAATCAAATTTATTTTGAGGAACCCAGTGGCAATCGATCAAAAAACTTAATTCCTATAAATTAAATAGAAACAAAATGATGAAAATATTGAAAATAATGATTCATTATACTCGCAATACAAGTGACAATTAAGTTCATTATCTGCTGCAAGTTCCATATGGCACACATTTGTATTTTCCTAGTAATTTTCGAAATGATCCATTAATTTGTTGTTATTGTATTATAAATTACCGGAATTATATAGGTATGTTACTGAAATATCGGCCCACAATAGAGTCAAAAGCTTTCGAGGAATTTGTCAATGAATATGTGAATAAATCCCAACAAAAAATCGCCATTTTCTTAGCATAGACACAAAACATATGATTTTAGTTATCAGTGTGGCATACTTGGCATGCATGAAAAAACGCAAAATATGAACTGTCTGTAGAACATGAAAAATAAAAAAGATTAGTTTTTATTAATTTTAATTAATTGTAATTATTTTAAATCTAAATAGTATTCCTTGTCCATCATCCAGCAATTGGGTAAAAAAGAGGAAGACAGACTCTTTAAGAAAACAATTTAATTCGTCTAATTTCTGTAATGTCTCTTATTTAGTTATTAAAACATACAGTAAAGTACGATTATAGGGACCTAGTAGGCACCAAGCAAATTAGTTCGTTATAGCAGAAATTCGTTATATCCAATGTAAGGCAAAACCTGGGATTAGCAGAAAAATATATATTCAGTTCCAAAATAGGCATCTTATAATTGAATAGAATATAGTTTTTTCGTCCTATTTTGAGCTGCTTCTCTTTTTCTTCGATGAACCAGGCATTTTTTTGTAAAGTTTGCCAGTGTTACCGTATCAATTAACTTTTGTGCGAATTGTCATAGTTAATTATTTGGTATTTCGTAGCAAGTTTGTTACAACCGAATTAAAATAAAGAAGAACTGAAAAATGGGACCGAATAAATAGTTCGCTATAAGAGTTAATATTTGTATGAAAAATATGTCTAAAAAATTTGGGACCAGGAAATGTGTTCGTTATAAGTAAAGTTATTTACAACCGGTGTTCGTTATAGGCGTATTCGACTGTATTAATCTTCTTCTGCTTCCTTTTACTTCGTGGATTTAATCCAGTAGAGCCATTCCGGATTTCAGTTTGAAATGGTATTTAATAATATTAATAATAATAGATATTGGTGTTTTTATAAAATACCTGATTTGTTTGAAGACATGTAAACGAACATAAATTTGTATTCTAGAGGATCTAATTATCCCCTATAAAATTTTTTAATATAATACAATATTATCTTATTTTCCAAAACTAATATACACTTCTAAAACTTTTCCATTATTTTTAAGGAAATACAAATAAATTGACTATTTTATTTTATCAAAATCACCTTGTTGCCCCCTCTACTTATTTATTACTGTGTACACTCCCATTAAAAAATAAAACAACAAGTAATCAATAGTTTCCGATCGTTCAATTTATCGTTTTCCGCTCTCCTCGTTGTAATCAATTAAAATAAACTGTGATTTCAAATAAATAGCAAATCTTTGTGATTGTGAATTGCTTTTAATTGTTTTTAAAAGAAAAAACAAAAAATTAGTGAAGACAATTAAAATGGAATTCATGTGATTTTATTTTGAATTTACAGTTTGTTTTAATTGAAGAAGAAAATCAAAACGGTTTCAATATTAAACAGCAAAGATCAAAGTGTCTGTGACTGTGATTATTTTTTTTTATTTTAATTATTAAACAATAATTGTGATATTGTGATCGAATAAAAGTATATGAAAAAAGTAAAATGATGGGGTAAGTGCCAAAAAACCAAATAAAACAAAAAAAAACTACCAAAGCACAATAGAAACAACAACAAGAATCTAACAATTAAAAGAAGTAACTCGAAAACAATCCTCTCTTGTAAGAGGTAGGATATTTTTGTTAAGAAATAATTATATTATTTTAAAACAGCTAGGCTGAATGAAACTACTACTAACAACAACAACACGGTTGGTGTGCTGATAAGGCGTGCTATGACCACTCGAGAGAATTCCCTTAGTTGAGGACGCCTTTTGGTAGCAAAATCTCACCATGCTCTCTTCTTACAGCAGCTAGAAAACATGGAGGAGGTTTTGTGGAGTCCTGCCGTGCCGCGAAACAAGAACAAAAAACGTAATTTTTTGTTAAACACTATGACAAAAAACCAAAATATTTTTTTCTACTATTACCCCCTCTCAAAAAAAGAACTATCTATGTATTATTGTTGTTTTTATTGTATTCACAAATACAGAATGCATCTGCGCAACGTCCGTCTCCTGTGTGTAGTCGGTCTAAATGCGTTCCAAAAACAAAGAAAAAACCCAAAACTCGTTTCTTCGAGGACGACACACTGCTATCGTCTCTAACATGTCTGGCCACTTAGTATATAGGGGGACCATAGCCAAAAATCATGAAATCTCTCGCTCTCCCACTACTACTCCTCCTCTTCTCATCCAAATATACATGAATGAATGAAACGAGTCCAAAAATAAAACTAAGACCTTAAGCGAGAGTACAACGGGTTTGTATAACATTTGCATTTTATTCAAATTGATTAAATAATTTTTTCACCAAAAAAAAAAAATATTTATTTAGAAAATATTATAATACATAATTATTATTTATTTTATATATTTATATACATATTTGGTATAAATTTTATATAACGCATAGTTTTTTTATTATTATTAAGATTAATAGGCGCTAGGAAGATTATTAAAATATTTTGCAAATATGAATTTTGAAATTCATGGAAACGTGAATTATTCCATTACGTATTAAATCTTCACATACGTGAAGCTATTTTGAATATATAAAATCAAATATCGATTCCAGTGCTATATTAAATTACTCACTCTTGTAAGGAGGGTTTTTTTGAATTCGAAAGAGGTTTTTTTTTTATCAAATAAATCTACTTGAAACATGAAAATAACACGAAGGACATTCCGAATGAATCACAGGATTTTATTGCGGTTAATGAAAATAGTATCGGGCAGTATTCTTCGATATCGATTTTTCAAAAATATCTTTTTGAAGTCCTTACATAGGCGTGGATTTTTTTAAATGTCTTTTTGAGGTCCTTACATAGGTGTGGATTTGTATACCCTTTACCACACTGTGGTACATATGATTGTAACAGGCAAAAGGAATCGAGATAGGAATCGATGGTTCCTTTTGAGAATATGTATAGAATCACGTTCTGAGTCGATTTACGCCGTCTGTCCGTCCATGTATTTTCGTTAACAAAGTACAGGTCGCATTTATGATCCGATTTGGATGAAATTTGGCACAGCTCATTTATTTGGCCCAAGGACGAACCCTATTGAAATTGGGAAAAATCGGTTCAGATTTAGATATAGCTCCCATATATAGTTTCGTCCGATTTAAGTAAATGGGGCACCAAAGTCCCCAAATATCTTTCTATTTGCCCGAAATTCGTCATAGATATAGCTCCCATATATATTTTCGACCGATTTTAGGTAAATAGAGCACCAAAGTCCTTATATATCCTTCGATTTCCACGAAATTTGGCATAACGCACTGAATTAAGCCTGGGATGATATGTGCTAAGTTTCGTAGAAATCGGTTCAGATTTCGATATAGCTCCCATATATATTTTCTCCCGATTTTATGTAAATGATGCACTAAAGTCCCTATATATCCTTCGATTTGCACGAAATTTGGCATAGTGTACTGAATTAGGTCTAGAACAATGTGTGGTAAGTTTCGGGAAAATCGGTTCAGATTTAGATATGGCTCTCATATATTTTTTCGTCCAATTTTAGGTAAATGGAGCACCAAAGTCCCTATATATCTTTCGATTTGCACGAAATTTCGCTCAGCGTACTGAATTAAACCTAGAATGATGTGTGTTAAGTTTCGAGAAAATTGGTTCAGATTTATATATAGCTCTCATATATATTTTTGTCCGATTTTAGGTAAATGGTGTACCAAAGTCCCTAAATATCTTTCGATTTGCACGAAATTTGGCACAGAGTACTAGACTAAGTCTAATATGATGTGTGGTAAGTTTCGAGAAAATTGGTTCAGATTTATATATAGCTCTCATATATATTTTTGTCCGATTTTAGGTAAATGGTGTACCAAAGTCCCTAAATATCTTTCGATTTGCACGAAATTTGGCACAGAGTACTAGACTAAGTCTAATATGATGTGTGTTAAGTTTCGTGAAAAACGATTATTATTTAGATATAGCTCCCACATATATTTTTGTCCGATTTTAGGTAAATAGTGCACCAAAGTACCTATATATCCTTCGATTTGCACGAAATTTGGCATAACGTACAGAATTAGGTGTAGAACGATGTGTGGTAAGTTTCGGGAAAATCGGTTCAGATTTTCAAGTAGCTGTCATATATTGTTTCACCCGATTTTAGGTAAATAAAGCAACAAAGTCCCTATATATTCCTCGATTTGCACGAAAATTGGCACAGAATACTGAATTGAGTCTAGAATTTTGTGTGTTAAGTTTCGTGAACATAGGTTCAGATTTAGATATAGTTCCCATATACATATCCGTCCGATTTTATGTAAATGGTGCACTAAAGTCCCTATATATCCTTCGATTTCCACACAATTTGGCATAGTGTATAATCAAACGATGTGTGGTAAGTATTTTCCGATAGAGATTAAATTCTAAACAGTTCAGCATACCAAATAGCATGTGTCAAGTTAGCTTTAAATCGATTTACAAAATTTAGCATAGGTTACAGAATGACATGTATAGGAATTGATGTTAGCGGGTTTACATATATATCAAGATCACATATTTCAGATCGTTCAATTTCACGTCAATATTCCTTCGAACAGGCGACGTCTGTTAGGATACATATGTAGAATATACCCAAAGTGGTGAAGGATATTATATAGTCGGCCCAGTCTGATTTTACTACCTTCCTTACTGGTTTAAAATCTATTCTTGTGATCGTTACATAGGGGAGAATTTTTTTAAAAATAACTTTTTGAGATCCTTAAATAATAGAAGTGGATTTTTTAAAAATATATTTTTGAGTTCCTTACAACTGCCCAAATTAAAGACACAATAAAAAATTAAATAATTTTTAATTATTTAATTTATTATTGTCATTTCAAACTTCGTATACATCTATTTTAAGGGTATTATTTATTTATTTATTATTATTTTAATTTATAATTGGCTTTAAACATTATTAAAAAAATATATTTTGTAAGGGTACATCTATTTAAAATTTCACAATCATTATTCTTTTAATTCAAAATCATGTCAATGCTTTTAGCAACAAATTAGGCTGTTTTTTGATAATGACAACAGCTCTTTCTCTCTGTCTCAAAATCATTCATGCCGTCCTGTTCTCTTTGCCTCTGTTGTTTTGTCTTGCATTTCGCTCTCACCAAATTCATTTAGGGCTTCCAAAGTCCTCTCTTTGTATGTGTATAATCCATAAGAAGTTCATACATATATAATAATTATCATTTCGAATTTTAATGTATTGTGAATTTAAATCGGAAATCAATGCGATTTTCAAAAAATAATACTTCTCAATATAGGACTATATTTAAGCTGTTGGTTCTGCTTCTATATTTTACTAATATATATTTTGATTTGAAACGCAAATTTATTTACAGGCGTTATGCAGGCCACCACCATGGGCGGTTGTAAATTGGAGAAACGTTATTCACCGAGTTTTCGTGATGAACCCCAGCGTAAAATGAGCGCCTCGAAACGTAAACGGGATGAAATTTTAAGGTAAATATCATTTTTTTATTTTATTTATTCAAATTGTTTTAGTTTCAATTATTTGTTTTAAGAATATCTTGATAACATTTTCAATTTTTTAGATATTTTGTGGTTGTGTTTGTGAAGAGAGGGGAGAGAGTAATTTGAAATTTGTATAACAAGATGATGGGTATGAAACCGAAAATTGTACATAATTATGTATTTAAAAAATGTATATTTTAAAATATCACCCATCCAATATCTGAAAAAAAACTACTTCTATTTTCTTGATAAAATTTCAAGGGTATGGGATGCGGTATATTTTAAGAATAAAACAAAATTACTCTGCTGCTTATTTTAGGGTCCTTAAGAGGCCGTACAACCAAAAATACCAAAAAACATAATAGAAACTAGTTTCTAAAGGCCCAGGTCCACAAGAAAGTAACACCCAAACCCAAACAAATCGCAAAATATACTACACACACATGTTAACTGTGGAGAACCACTTCTTGGAGGGTTTTTATATATTTTTTCTAATACCGAAAGAACATTTTTAATAATCTTTTTTCTTTTTAAATTTGCAGAATGAAAGTCCACAAGAATGGTAATGCCGCTGATGTCATTAAGAGTATATCACAATTGGACAATTCCAACAAGCAATGTAAGTCCTTGAACATAACCTCAATTACATAATTTAACTAATTATATGTGTTTCTTCTCCTTCTCTCTCTCGCAGATTTCCTAATGTTGGAAAATATAACATCTCAATTCCGTAATCCCTGTATCTTGGATCTGAAAATGGGTACCCGTCAACATGGCGATGATGCATCCGCAGAAAAACGTTCCAAACAAATGGCCAAATGTGCGGCCAGTACATCCGCATCATTGGGTGTACGTTTGTGTGGCATGCAAACGTATCAGGTCCATTTGGATCAATATGCCAAACGGGACAAATATTGGGGTCGTGAATTAAATGAGAATGGTTTTAAACAGGCCCTACATGATTTCTTCTATAATGGTTATCGTTTGCGTACTCGAGTTATACGCAAGATTGTACAACGTCTGTTGCAATTGCGTCGGGTCATTGAGAAGCAGTCCAGTTATAGATTTTATTCCTGGTAAGTTGGAAAATACACAACCACAAAGGTGAAACTGTTTTTTTAAGGGCCGAACATGGGTGTGGATTTTTTAAAAATAGTTATTGGTACCTCTAAATAGGCAGGGATTTTTAAAAATAGGCAGGGATTTTTTAAAAATAGCTTCGGTCACTGCCTTTCAAAGAGACCCTCCCCGCACACTGGGGAGTCATGCGACCTCGTGCCCTTCAGCGTTCTACGATTTGCAGTCGGGGTCCCGACTGTATTAAAACATAGCCTTGTTGATACCTGGGCGCCTCAATCAGCTTATTCAGTCTTAGCTGCCAAGTCCTTGCCATGGTAAGAGGCTATGCCATGGTCAACCTCAATCCCTCACATACAGCACATTCTATGGAGCCGAATTTTAATAACAACACAAACACGATAGCGATCCTGATAACTCCTCCGAAGCAGGGAGAGTCCTCCCAGTTGCTGACTAGGGAAGTAAACCTTGGCAAGGTTGAGGATCCGCACTCATTCTCACGGCCTGTAGTGATGTCGCGCGAAATTACCCAGGCAGTTGGCTGCCGAAGCGGATACTGGTACTGATGAGACCCCCGTCGATAAGATTGATGATTCACCAGTACCAGTAATGCTAGGCAAGTGGATGCCAAGAAGATCGCTGCCATGAAGATGTATCGGAGAGAAGTTAACTGTAACCGATTCATCGGACAGGACAGCGACTCCATTACGGGAAAGGTCTTCCTTTTAATCAAGAGGAATCTCAAATTCATCCGAAAGTTCTTCATGAACTATCCGAATGATATTGAGAGGGAAAATTCCCCTACCCAGTACGAAGACCACCACGATAGTCTCTTCAAAGAAGGAGAAACCTGTCGGAGGTTCTAGTACACTTAGGAAGCTGATGCCTGAGACTTCTAAGCCCTCAGTACCCCCAAGGGTAAACTGAGTACTGAGACGTCCCAGACACCAGCATCCACAAAGATTGAAGGTAGGGTACTGTCGAAGTCGGCCCGAAGGAGAGCCCGTAAAAAGTTCTCCAAAGGCCTTAGGGCCCCAACATCGGCGTGGTTTTCTAAAACCTCAGTTCGGATTTTTTTATAGAAAAAAATCACCGGACCTTTGTACGGATTTTTTCTAAAGAAAAAAATTCTCTGGACCTCAGTTTGGATTTTTTTCTATAGACACAAAAATTCGCCAGACCTGTTCTTCATTTCTTTAGAAATAAATTCACGGGACCTCTGTGTGGATATTTTTCTTCGAGGACCAAATTTTTAAGCTTTCACATATTAGAGAATTTCTTCTTTGTTTTTGTTTTATCTTTTTTTCTCTAGAAATAAATTCAGGGGACCAAAGTGGGGATTTTTTTCTTCGAGGACCAATTTTTTAATGCTTTCACATATTAGAGAATTTCTTCTTTGTTTTTGTTTTATTTTTTGCTGTTGTTTTTATTTCCGATTTCTTTCCTTGTAGCGGATTTTAATTATATTTTTTTCTTTTCCCCTTCCAGCTCCCTTTTAATTGTCTACGAGGGCTATGAGGACAATCCCATGCTACAGCCAATGGATTTTGATGATTGGGCCACACCCTCAACACCCAAAAAACCTACAAAGAAATCCAATACCTTTGATTATCATCGAGACAATAGCATTGACGACGATGATGATAATGATGTGGATGATGACGATGATATTGAAGATGAAGTGGTGGACCACGACGAAGAAGAGGAGGGTCATGAGGGTGGCGATGAATTGGAATTGCATGATACCGATGAAGATTTACATTTGGTGGCGGCAGATAGTGGCAATGCCTCGGCCACCAATAGTAGCACGGGCGGTGAGCAGTGTTGTTATGATGCCGATGCCTCAAATGATTCAACAACCAATGATATGAATCTCAGAACCCGCATAAAACATTTACACAACAGCAACAACAACGGCAATACAAGGGCCTCGCCAACAACACCGGTGGCGGCAGGTGGATGTAAAGCTGGAACAGCGGCAGTTTCAACGGCGGCGGGAACGGTGGCATCTGCTTCTCGAGCCTTTGACAAGCACAATTTGTCATCGTCCTCGGATGAAAATGATGATGACAGCCACCACCACTCGCATCACCACCCTCCCCACAACAATGCTTTGATGATGAATGACAGCGATAGTAGATCTATGCCACCACCACCACCATTAGCCGGTTCTAATGTGGGCCTTTGCAAATCTTCGGAATTGATAAGGCCATCGGCATCATCAACCCCCAATACACCTGCACCATTCATTCCCATTTCCGAAGAAACAGTATTCTTAGATCCCGAACCCCCAATGCCCAGCATAGCCACCTCATCGCCGCATTCCGGTGACTCGTGGATGAATTACAGCAGCAATAGCAGTGATGATTTCTCCTGTTTGTCGGAACAAATCAAAGCGGTGACCAGTGGCCGTCAAACGGGCAACAATAGTTCGGATGAGGCGTCATCGGATTATGATAGCAGCATTATCAGCCAAACTGAGGTAATGTTAAAACGTTACAAATCGCAACAAGATGCATTTGAGGCAGCGGCAGTTGCAGCTGCTGCTGCTGCGACATCAGTTATTAATACACCGCCTCAAACGCCCAAACCGCTGTTGCGTAAAAAACATAAAAATTCACCATTGGCGACCACGGCGGTCAATGCATCGCCGGCCTCGTCGACCACTTCATCATTGAAATCGGTTAAGGGAGCAGTGAAACGTTTGCGTTGTAAAGATGATGACGATGATGATGCGGAATATAATAATAGTGATGATGCTAATACCAATATGCCCAAGGAGCCCAAGGAGTCTTCAAACCTTAACAAATCATCACAAGCCAAGAAGTCAACCACAAATAATTCGAAAATTATATCCTCCTCAGCAGCATCATCATCAAAATCGACACCGGTTTCCATGATGAATTCACCAGCCAAGACAGCGTCAGCGCAATTACCACCTGCCGCCTCCGCAGCAACAGTGGACCATGCACAAATCAAAGAAAGCAGTTTACACACGGCAGTTGAACAAGCAATGGATACAACAACAACAACATGTGGTGTTGGTGGTGGTAATACACCCATGGCATCTGGCTCCGATTCCATGACATCACCGGCCACAACACCCACAGCAACATTATCCCTACCCACACCCCCACCATCATCACAGCAACAAAAACACCAGCAGCAGCAGTCACAAAGAGTAGGAGGAGGTGTAGTGGGCGATGTTCCCATTAAACAGTTATCCAAAAAATCAACACATCGAAAATTCCTGCAACATATGTCCAAGTCATTGGACATTGATACTCCGCCAGCCGCCTGCGACGATATGCACTGTGTGGTCGATGTACGCTTGATTGATTTTGCTCATACAGCATTTGTGCCACGCAATGGTTCGGCCTTGTTCCCCACACCGCCAACGACCATCCACCATGGACCAGATAGTGGCTTCCTGACCGGGCTAGACAGTTTAAATCGTTTACTAACCGAAATTCTTAATGAAGAGGTTATGTGTTAAGAAAACTAAGCTAAGCTAAGGGAAAACTCTGAGGTATTATAAAATAAAAGAAACAAAACCTGAAAGCTTTACAAAAACAAAATACAAAATAAATGAAAGAAACAAGGAAGAAATTAAGCTACTTCATAGATACACAAACACAAACACATCCAAAAATGTAACCTATATTTATATACCTATATGGATATACATAGCGCTACATACATTATAGGAAGAAATTTCAAATCCTTATGGAGAAAAACCGAACCCTTGAAAGAAAAAGGGTTACAATGTTTCTTTTCTTCTTCGTCTTTTTGCCTCTTTTCTTTTGGGAAAAGAGAAATGCTATTTTGTTGTTTTTAGGAAAAGAAAACCTTATTAAAACCTCCCATACATAAAAAATATGTCACCTCTGCTTGTAAAAGTTAGGTTAGGGTTGATGACATCCATCCCACATTGTGTAAATTATAAATCATTTTACATATATATATAAAAAACACACACATAAGCCCTTATAACTATAGAAAAAATTTTGAAACAAAACAAAAATACCCTCCTTTTTTCTCCATCCCTCTTTAAGAAAAGTAAACAACAACAAATGCATTATTTAAAAGAAAAACAAAAAAAAAAACTTAAGAGTGAAATCATGCCAATGTGATACTGTTCAAACAAACAACAAAAACAATTGAATACTGAAAACTAAAACTGAAACAACAACAAATACTAATAATAATAATAATTATAATATTGAAATAAATAACTCCCAAGTAATTCTTTTTATTTTATTTTTTATTTTATTAAATAATAATATTGTTATATTAAGACTTATTACATATTATTTTTTTTAAATGATAAGATTTTTTTGAAAATAAAAACCACAGAAAAAATATTTTTTTTAACAAAAAAACAAAACAAACAACTTGGATATATATTTGATGATCTCTCTCAACAAAACAAGAAATGAAAAAAAAAGAAAACTCTATGTCTCTCTCTCTTCCTGGATTTCTTTCAACATGAAAATGTTTGTCTGTCAGTCCCTTACCTATGTTTCCTATATATACAACTACTTCTACTACTACTACTTCTTTAGATAACTAATTTTTCTCTCTCTCATATTTTTTTTTTATTATTTTCCTAACCTTAAACAAAAACAATGTTTTTTATTTCTAAATATTGTATATTATTATTACTACAACTAAATCTACTTTTTTTAAATATTTGTTAATAGAACCCTGACAACGATTCTAGAACAAGAAAAAAAGAAGTATTTTGTTTGTTACCTGACTTGTACCAATTTAAACCAAATGAATTAAACATAAATAAAAACAAATCATAACTACTGGACATTTCCCATATATATAAAACGAAATATATATATTTATATATATAAACATGCATCAGACACTATTTTAACAAATGTGTTTATAGAAAATAGTAATGTGGATAAAATGTTTGTTTTTTCTTTCTTTTTTCTATGTTAATAAAATGTGAATGAAATTCTCTACTATTTGAAAATAAAAAAAATGAATTCTTCAACTATTTTTGTGAGGTTAGGTTGAGAAGGCTGGCTGATATTACAGTATTAAGTAAGAAAATAACAGGCAATCCTATAAAAAATATAGGGAAATTTATTTAATGTTAGGTTAACCATTGTGCTCATTTTGATTTGTGAGGTTAGGTTGAAATTGTAAGGCTTAGGTTGATCTGGTTGGGGGTCCATTTTAGAGAAGAAGGCTAGATTGTCAATTTCATATCTTTCAAACTGTTTATGTCTTCTGCCACTCAGCGATGGACATCTACAGAGGATATGTTCAATTGTTTCTAGCTCTTCTTCGTCCTCACGACAGTAATCCTCTCTGCTGGAGTCCCATTTCGAAGCAAGAGATCTAATCCTGCAGTGACCTGTTATGATCCCCACAATGATCTCTCTCTCTCTTAATATGTGCCAACAGCGAAAAAGTTCTTCGGCGAGAGAATTCAGGCCAGATAGCTTTTGAGATTCTGCAACCTGGTTCTCTCGACCATTTGTGTACCGACTACCTCGCCGTAGAACAAGTGGATCTTAAGAACTTTCGGAACTGCCCTCGTTCTATTTGAAAATGAACAAAAACGATATCTTCAATTATTTTGTGAGGTTATGTTAAGAAGTCTGGCTGCCCTCACATTAAAATTAATTGGGATATAGCAAAATTTTTTTGAATTAATCACTAAAATATAGCCTTAACCTTAACATACCCAAATACGAAATCGAAATGCAGTAAATGTTTTGTGAGGTTAGATTTAATAGTGTGCTCATTTTCCACACAAATTAGTCACTTACTAATTTGTGAAGTTATGTTGAAATGTTTTTAATTCTTTCAAATTAAATCACATTGGAAGTAGCAACGTACAATTTTCGTTAATCCCTAAAATATTAATATTTGTTGTTATTGTAAAAGAAAACGAAATCCTATAAATACGGCCCCTTAAATGATTTGTGAGGTTATGTTGGAGTGTATGTGTTTCACATTTTCTGCACAAATCTATTATTTGCTATTGTGGAATAATTAAAAATTAAAAAAATAAAGCCGATTTTCACAATCCACTTCGGGTTTATAGCTTTCGTAGACTTCTCAAATACATTTTGGGGATTTTTTCTATTGGCTTTCCGCTTTTTACATATGCCATATGAGTCCATAGATAGATTATTTTGAACTGTAAGTTTTATACATACGCAGGCTCTTTAAAAGGTCTTGACTATGTCGAAAACTTTATAAATTAATTTCCCATTTTGCCTTTATCTAGGTGGATGTACCGGCAGAAATTGTTCGATAGCTCCTTCCTAGGCCTTAGTAACAACGGAAGAAATTTGATTTTTTTTTTACAGCGTCATCTAGTGGAAATTTCTTTCTCTTTTATGAAAGTCTTTGGGTTATATGATAATAATTATTGATCAAATAGAATTTCGTAGCATTGTAGAGTCTTGACTCTTCTCAAAATTTAATCGATTTGAGATCGCCAAAACTATTGATTCCTAAAAATATGTGATTTCTACAGAAGAGCAGTATCATGATGCAATAATAAGGTGATGTATCACAACAACAACCTTTGTTTTTGACTCGATTATCTGTCAATTTTTTCCATATAATATTTCAAATGGTTGGCAACACTGCACAACGAATTCAAGTAGAAATTACCCACTTTGACAGTTAATCAAGACATCAGCTGCGCTAAATGGACTACCTATTCATTGTGCCATGAGCAGTATCATATTGCAGTATGGCTCTTTGATAGGAATCATATCCATAGCATGGCACAATAAATAGGTAAATAAGTCCTTATTAACTGTCAAAGTGGGTAATTTCCTTATAATATTTCAATTGGTTGGCAACACTGCACATCGAATTCAAGTAGAAATTACCCACTTTGACAGTTAATCGAGACATCAGAAGCGCTAAATGGACTACCTATTCATTGTGCCATGGGTTAAGTTGAAATCATGGCATAATAAATTGGTAGTCCATTTAGCGCAGCTGCTGACTCGATTAACTGACAAAGTGCGTAATTTTTACTTGAATTCGATGTGCAATGTTGCCAACAATGTTAAATATTATAAGGACAAATTTGACAGATGATCGAGACAAAAACCAAAAGTTTTTGTTTTGATACATCACCTTATTATTGGTTGAAATGTTGGCATTAAATTAGATCATTCCTTTTGCAACACCGGTTACCCCATAAAGTATATATCTATGTCGATTTATGCTCCTGCGTATGTCTGTTGAAATCATGATAGAGCTCGCAATATTGAAGATAGAGCTTTGAAATGTTTAACACACATTTTTACTACTCATATGATGTTGGGTATTGAAAAATGGGATATATCAGTCCACTTTTGGTATAGCCAAAATTTGGTAAGGCTGTAATTTGGTATGTTGATTTTTGATTGGGTGACACATCTTCCTACCAATATTGATCACCTTTTTATGCGACTGTCGCTTATCAGCTCTATCGATGAAGGGTATTTCATTTCATTTATTTTATTTTTATCCCTTTGACCATGCGCTACAGGAGGTAAATGCCTTCTCTGTACTCGATTATTCTCAGCCAGACGTGAAGTCATTGTTTTTTTTTTTTTTTTTTTTTGGTTGAAGGTTCGGATGACCTACTCCCTTATTTTAGTTCCATTTTATTCCTTATTTTTGTTCTCTAACAACTGAAATCTGATACAGTCGCTATGGATTTAAAAATTAACTTTCTATTTTATATCCAATCTAGCCTTCTCAAAATATACTACGAGGGTAGTTCAGAAAGGTTTTAGCCTAGCACAAAAAGCGCGGTATAAACAGAAAAAAGTTAAGTATTTTGGAAACTTCCATCTCTGTTATGAACACATGTTAATTTTAGTTTCGATCTGGCAACTCCTTCATATAGAAACAGGTGTTTAAAAATTATAGTTTGTGCCGCGCTTTTTGTGCTAGGCTAAGAACTTTCCGAACTGCCCTCGTAATTGGCAGCTCACACCTTAGAAAGTTTCATAAATTAAAATTCTTGCCATAATATATTATGTTTTTATACAAATATTATTTTATTATAAACATTTTGTTAAAATCGTCTCTGTTGAATAATCATAAACATATATAGTACATACGTTTATAACGTTTAAAATACACAAATATATACATATAGCCATGACATGACACGACATCATTACAAGGAATGTGACCTTATCAATTGTGAGTATACCTCATAATAGACATCCTAACTAACATTGATCTTAAGTAACAACAAAAACAACAACAAATTGTATTCAAATACAAATATATTATTTTATTTGATAATGAAGAAAGAAATTAGAACACAAATAAAAAATAATAAAAAATATGTAAACATAAATAAAAATTAACAAAGTACTATTAAAAAAGTATTTTTTAAAAATTTAAATGAAAATTGAATTTATTGGAAATTAAAAAGAAAATTGGAAATATTTAATTAAAATAAATATATTTAAAAAAATATGTAAAGTGTTATTTAAAAAAATATATACACATACATAAATTCGAAAATATTTTGGTGGGAGACCAATGTAAACGAACCTATAAATTGATCTTTGAATTAAGATATTCAATTTTATAAATGTTCAGTTTTATAAATGAATAAGTAAAAAATGAAGGGTTTCCAAGAACTCTCCCTTCTAAATTAGAAACAATACATTTCTTTTAAGGCGCGTTTAGACTATACCTTCTAAATCAACTCGTTTGGAAATTTAATAACTCAGTCAGCTGATTGATATTTGTTTACGTATACATAAACATTTCCAAGAACTTTTAATAATTCCATGGCACATTAAATAGGTAGTCCATTTAGTGCAGCTGATGTCTTGATTAACTGTCAAAGTGCGTAATTTATACTTGAATTCGACTTGCAATGTTGCTAACCATGTGAAATATCATAAGGAAAAATTTTACAGATGGTCGAGACAAAAACGAAAATTTTTGTTTTGATACATCACCTTATTATTGCATCATGGATAATTCAATTTATTTATTCAGTAGTACGGAAGCCGTATAGTACGTTTTCATTGTACCGGATTTAATTAACCCAGTGGGTTTCAATCGTCAATTCCATGGCCTATTTGTCAAATAAATCCTCATAAAGTAGGTTAACCCTGCAAAAATTCCTAATGTAAATTATAAGGGAAAATTGTATAGTTTTCAGCTTCTGTCATGTTTTTTGGTAGACAACTAGTTTGAATTTTAAGTAAACAAAATACACTAAGGCTACGTTTAGACTTCTAAATCCACTCGATCTCAAATGTCAATTCCATTGCGTATACATCACGTTAATCCAGTTCACAAATTTTTTAGTGGATTATATACATTGATAAATGTGGAATTGACATTTTTAATATATATTCATATGTAAACCCATTATTGACATACTGTACATTAAGAGTTGCCATTTTTTAGAAAATATTATGATAAGTTGGTGGGATAAAAACAGTGTTGTATTTGAAATTATCTCGATTCAGCCCAGGATTTCGAACAAATCAAAATTTAATATTTTATGGTAAATCACATGGAGTAAATCACAGTAACTGCAACTTGATTTAGCTAATAAATCTAAATAATAGATATTATCACAAGATTTAGTCTAAACGTGCTTTATGTTAAAAAAAATACTTTCCTTTCCCCAAAAATTGTGTGTAAACTTTACTCCCAAATCCCATCCACCAAATGTTATGTTTCAAAATCAAATATATATACTTAATAAAAGTAGTCCATTTTCCTAGTTATTGGCAAAATAAACAAATTAATATTAATCAAAAATCTATTGAATTAGGACACTTTGTGAAAAAATGCTTCCATATATAAATAATTAGAATACAAATTAAAAAAACAAGAAAAGAAGAAGAAGAAAATAACATTTGTCATAAATTTATAGGCACTAATTTAATTTTCTACTGAGACAAAAAAGGAAATGTTTAATTTTAGCAATGATTGCATACAAAGTAGAAGAAACATAATTTTTTTAATTGAAACTGTGTAAAATATTTGGTAACAATTTCGTTTTATTTGCTCCCACTTAAGAAAATAATTTTGTTTTCAAAATTTAAACAATAAAAAATAATGCAATACAATAATAAAAGTTAGGTATTATTTTATGTCAATAATCGGTATGCAGTGGCTTGTTACGTCATTTTATTTTTAAATAAATAAAATCTCATAATTTTTTTTTTCAAAAATCAAGTTCGGAATGCCAATGTTTAAACCATAAATCATGGTCTATTCGTAAAGTCAGAAAGCTAAAAACCGATGCTACTTCTTAAGTTAAATGTCAAAATTTTGAATGTTGTTTACGTTTTCATAATGCAAAATAATGGATTTTGACAGCAAACTTGAGATGCAGCTGGAATTTCTGGTTGAGCTTATTAATAGGCCATAAGTCAGTAAGTTTTGATATAACATATAGCATATATTGCCTCCTTGTCAAACACAACAACATCTTCTATATATTAATTTCATATTTGACGGAACAAACTACTACATCCAGAGTTGCTTTTTCTGATTCACCTCAAGATATCCTAACTTGTATTATTTATAGCATGTTTACACGTATACGTACATACATATTAAATATCGAAACAAAAAAAGTTCATTTCATAAAAACACAATACACAAACAAACAATAGTGTAATTTATATAATTATTTTTAAATATAAATTGTAATACAAAAAATAAATAAATACAACAATATTAATATAAATATTTTTAAATATAAAATATAATTTTGTTTTCCCTTTTTATCCCTATTTTTAAAATAAATTAATATATCTTAATTATAATACTTAATTTTAAATGAAATTTATATATAAACTATATATTGTATTTTATTATAAAAATAAAAAAAAATATTATAAAAACAATTATAAACCATTTTTTCGTTTTTTAAGCACATAGATTAGTATCACAATTTAATAAGAAAATAAAAAAAAATCAAAAATGAAACAAAATACATAAACATGAAGAATTTCTCCACCCACAACAACAAAACAAAAAACCCAATATATATGAACAAAAAAAAATAAATCTTTAAATTACATATATGTATGTGTAGTGGTTAAAAAAAGAAGACATAAACAAAAATAAAATAATATTTGAAAGAACATTTAAAATACAAACAAAAAGTAAAATTATAAATTAAACTGCAATAAAACAATACTTACATGTTTCAAAATAAAATATAAAATTTGTATGGGTTTTTTTATTTATTTTCTAAGGAAAGGTATTGATGGGAACTATGGTCAGTTTTTTTTTTTAAAGTCCAAACCATAGTATATTTCTTACAAGGTAGGACATAGCTAACAACTGATTACAATTTTTACTGAAGGTGGTTTGTTAGAGCAGCTGATGTCTCGATTAACTGTCAAAGTGTGTCATTTCTGCTTGAATTCGATGTGCAATGTTGGCACAATGAATAGGTAGTCAAAATCAAAGGTTTTTGTTTTGATACATCATCTTATTATTGCATTGTTTATACCCTCATTAACCCATAAGGCTGAGGGTATAAAAACATGACCGGCCAAGAACATGATACGTCATTCTAGGCTCAATTCAATACACTATGTAAAATGTCGTGTGAATCCAACAAATATAGTGTCGCCTACAAAAAAACCTATTGTCAATATTTAAATTATATTTGTACTTTAATGCTAATTTTCTCCAATATGGCATATTTTTATTTATGTATTGTCAATATGGAATAAAACTTTAGAATTCCCTCGTGCAATTTATGCAAAAGTTATGAAAATCGGTTCAGTAGTCGTTGAGTTATTTGCATTTGAATACGTTTCGTGTAAACCAAACCTTGGCTACATTAAAATTACCGTTTCTCGTATTAGAGCATGACATCCACCCTAATTACAGTAAACGAACCCCACTCATGTGTCTCAAAAACAACCGCTATATCAACAGCTGTTACTGTTGAATGAGCAAAAACACTTTTCGATTGTTTTGATATATACACTATCGATATTCGCCCTTCGACTTACAAAAGGCCACTTTATACCAGAAGAAAATAAAACTGTAATTATTTTCGAGATATTTTAATCTTATAAAATAAATTTATATATATATATATACATGTTAGTAATTTTTTTTCCTTTTAACAAAATACCAATCGACAATTTAAATTATTTATCGATACTATTACTCCAAAAGAAACTATCGATATTATCGCAAATATCATCGGTTGTTTGACAGCTCTATTCGTGTGTTCCTTTTGGGTAGCAAAAAATAATACAAGAGGTAAAATAATACGTTTTTAAAGAAATATAAAGCATAAAAATGTGATTTCTATAGAAAAAAATAATACTTTGAAATCCAGTAGCTATTATGAGTGCAAAATTATTCGCAATTAATTAAAAAAATCGCATAAAATAGCAAAGAGTTTTAACAAACTTACATAACCCCCACATACAAATAAGAAGGCGAACGTCAATAGGGGATCAAGTAGAAGGCCCGGTATCGTATAGTTTTTGATAATTATTACCAAGTCCTTGGATATTAAATATGTGTTCTTTGCTGGAGTTCATAGCTCTCGGCCTTCAGCGTTCTCTAGTGTTCAATGCAGATTCTGATTGGATTTTTGCATCGACTTTGTATGGCAATATGGTTGTAGTTGTTGTGAGCCCCTTGAAGTCCTGATTATAACATATTTTTTTTGAAGAAGGCCTTGCGACAAAATAGGGTTTATGGAATGTTATCTGAAATAAATCAGCTTCAATAAGTGGTCGGTCTGAAATTGAAAAACTCCCACCCATGGATAGACATTAACACAGTATTCGCAAGCCGATGCTCTGTTCCAGAACACCTGCAAGAATCAATCGAAAATTGTTCTCGATTTTCCCCACAATACATTGCAGAGTTTTTTTGAGTGTAGACCGAGAATAGATTTTTTCGGTGGCAGACCTCCGTCATGGAGTTTAAGATCAATGGGACGAATTTTAATAGGGCCTACACTACAATAAACACCCCTTGTATTTTTTGCTTTAGAATATACCTATAAGGTTGTCTAATGAACTTTACAAGAAATTTTGTATAAATATTTTTGTAGCCACGAACCTAAAACCTGGAACTCAAAACTTGACTTCAGCCTTCATAAATAGTTTAATTAAATTCTTATATATATTTTTTTCTTCCAGCAACATGGGTGGTCACGGTCATGGACATGGTGCACCTTACAAGGTACCAGATGCCAGCATCTACAAAGTTGAAGATGTACCCAAACTTGTTGAAGTAAGGGAAGCATTGGCCCGTCAAGGTCTTAAGGATCCTTGGTTGCGGTAAGTTTTTTGTGTTGATTTGTTTGTGGATGTAAATAATTAACCTGCCCTTTATTTTCCAATTTCAGCAATGAAGTCTGGCGTTACAATGCCAAAGAATTCGGCACCCATGCCTCCCGCTTGAGAACATTCATGTTGCGTGGTTTTGTTTTGGGTTTGGGCTTGACTGCCGCTACCGTAGCCTTGGAAACTGTGTTCGGTGGTGATGATCATCACGGTCATGGCCATGGTGATGAGGGTCATCATTAGTGTGTACTAGTAAAAATTAATTAATTTGTACAGAAATTAAGTTAAAAAAACAAATTTTCTTTCGTTATTAAATTAAACAAAACAAAAAACCGAATAAATTGTATGCCAGAAATGTGCACGAAACGAAATTCGAAGGATCGAATGTGTAAGAAAAGAAATCATGGAAGAACTGTTTTCGAACCTATTACTAAAAATGTGGGCTCGAAATATTTTTTACTGGATATAGGTATTTCCTAGAAGGCAGTATTTATAGAAGAGGGGGCTTTATAGCCGATGGATGTCTTTTTGGACGAACTGAAGGAAGCCTTTATAGACAAAATGAAGCTAAATCAATGGCCTTTATAGACGAGTTGAAAGGGAGTCTTTTAGACGAGCTGAAGGGAGTGTTTATAGATGAGCTGAAAGGAGTGTTTATAGATAAGCTGAAGGTAATCTTTATATGCAGCTAAAAGGGAGTCTTTATAGACAAGCTGAAGGCAGTATTTATAGATGAGCTGAAGGGAGTCTTTATAGACGAGCTGAAAGGGAGTCTTTTAGCCGAGCTGAAAGGGAGTCTTTTAGGCGAGCTGAAAGGGAGTCTTTTAGACGAGTTGAAAGGGAGTCTTTTAGACGAGCTGAAAGGAAGTCTGTAATCTTTATATATAGATGAAAGGGAGTCTGTATAAACAAGCTGAGAGCAGTCTTTATAGACGATCTGAAAGGCTGTCTTTATAGATGATCTTTATAGAAGACCTGAAAGGGGTCTTTACATAGTAGCAGAAGGGATTATTTATGGACGAGTTGATGAAAGTCTTTGTAGATTAGATGAAAGGAGCCTTCAAAGGCGAGTTGAAGGTTGTCTTTATAGACGAGGAGTCTGATATAAAATTTTATTACAAAATTGTTGTTTTATTTGCTTATACATTTTATTTCAAAGAAATTAATAATTGTGGGTGCTTACGAGTGGAAAGAAAAAAATTTGGGGGGACATATTTTTTGTTTGTGGGAGAGATACTCTATTACAAATACGATTTAATCCTAATGAAAAATGAAAATAAAAACAATACAAAAAATATATTCTAAAAATTTACGTTGACCGCGGTTTCAATTCATCAAAACATGATCGTAAAAATATTTGAGGTTTTTTGGCAGGATTAAAATATTCATGGCCCTTTGACCAATCATAGCCGACAGCATAGGCAAAGATATGTCCCGAGGCATTGAAACCACATTTTGTTATCGATTGATCCATTGTTTCGGAAGACTTCAATTTGGTACGAGCATCTTTGTCCCAAAAACTGAATGTACCATCGGAACCCACCGTCACCAAAGTGCCATGTACCGGATGGAATGATATGTCATTGACGGCATAAATATCTTGATAACCCGCAGTGCCCGAAGAACGATGACACTTGAAGGTAAAGTTATCCTTCGGGTTAACCGGCTGAACATATTGTATGGCAACACGTCCTTCTATGCTACCCAGAGCATAACCTGTAAGCCAAATAGGAGAATATTAAACAAAATTATACTATATAAACATTTCTGGGTTCAAGTCAAGTTGAGGCCTTTTTAAAGATGAATTTGGAAATTTTATAAGTAGTCCTTTGGACCTTGATGTCTACACTTTGTTTAGGACATTAAAAATGGAACACGTTGATCTGATTTTTCTGAATTTCACAATTTTAGAGCTCCATATTTCGGAAATTATGGACTACCAGCATGAAAGTTATATATATATATATATATATATATTCGATTAGGGAGGCGAAAGTTTGCAGAAATGTCGGAAATGATTCCCTAAAAACACCGGGGATTCCCGGATTTTTCATATGAAAAATACGAGGGATCAGCAGCTGCCCTTTAGACTTGACTTAAACCCACCTTTTTTATCAATATACATACCCGTTGGCTTCTTATTCTTATCCCTGAATATGGCAATGGTTCTGTGTTGATATTTTAAGGGACTCTCCTGCCGTTTAAATTCCGTCGGACTATTTTCCAATGAGTAAACAATTAAACCCCGGCCCGCAGTACCAACCACTGCCATGGGAAAATCAACATCGGCGCAATAACAACGTTCCGGTAAATTAATGGCCATAATGGGATTTGGTGTTCTTGTATCCCAGAATTTCAACGTCTTATCCCAAGAACCAGTCATGAGGCATGTGTAATTGGTACCTTTAACCCAATGACAGACCTTAACGGGTCCATCGTGTGCGGCAACTTGCATTTGCTGATCTGAGGCTAAATCCCATACTTTAACCTGCTTTTCGCTGGCAATGAACACTTTGGTACCATCATCTGCCCAGCTAACATCCAACACTGGGCCACCCATTGTTTTCATGGACTTGGGCACAGTTTTACCCGTCTGCTCGACTTCCCAACATCGTACACTGCAATCCCAACTACCAGCAATAAGGAAATTTTGCTGCAATGTTGCCGGGCTAAATTCTAACGCTGAGACAGAATCTTCTGGAGGTGAAACCACTTCGAAATCGTTCATACGATTTGTTGATGTTGTTGTGGCTGTAGAACCAAAGGCTGATGTTGTGCCTCCTAGTGTTGATTGGCCAAACATATTTTTTCAACTTTTTCCACGCTTTTTTTGCCGTCCGCGAGCGATTTTCACAACAAAACTTTTGCAATAAAGATGCCGCCTCAAATGAACGCTTTCATATGGATTATTCACACAATGGAACAATTGAAACTAGTAGCATGTTTCAACGGCATTAAACAGGGGATTTGTAGATCGATAAAAGGCTTGATAGGAAATGCAAAGGATTTCCTCGTTTATTTTAATGTGACACACAGAGATTTGTTGTTGTATTATTTTAGAATTGAGCGGATGTGATTTTATTGTAAACATCCGTCACCATTTAATAAGTATCTTCTACAAAGAAGGTTCATTTAAATGAAAAAGCCCGCAAAGTAGGTATCTCTAGGTCAATGTTTGCATTGATGGAAACATCGATTTATCGTTATCGAATAGGTTATGTCAAGAGCGGCTACATAAAATTAAAGTATATTTTTAGGATAATCTCAAAATGTAAATGAATAAAACAAAGTAATATAAAAAGTATTTGTACTGTATTGTAAAGGTACGTTTAGATTTACGAAATTCACTCGATCTCAAATGTGAATTTCTTTGCTTATACGTCAAATATAATCCACGGGATTTGTGAACAGGATAAACGTGTCGTAAGTCTAAACGTAGCTTAATAATATGAATTATTCTGATTTATGTGACAATTTGATTTAAATGCCAATTTCATATCGTATACGTCAATTAAATCCTATTTACAAAATCAAATGGATTTTTTTTGAAGTTCACCATTTGAAATATACATTTGATATCGATTGGATTTTGTATATTTAAAAAATTATTAAAAAAAATTATCTGTTTTTGCGGCTATTTCTCTTTTATGTTTTAAAGACCTTGCGAATATCCATTCAATTTACAAATTCCCCAATTATTTACAACGTGATTATATTGTTCTTCGCATAGCAACTCGCATTGACCTCTCCGTTTAGTTTTTTTACACATAAATTTTATTTCGTTTCAATTTATATCCGGTATTTTTTTTTTTTTGTAAACAATTGTTTTCCTCTACATACTTCTTGAAATTTTTCATCAGAAAATACAACACGCGTTATTGTCTGAATCAGACAGTGCATTCCATGTAAAAACAACAGCAACAACATTGTACAATAACAAAAACTATAGGACACAAGAAAAATCCCCGCACAACTCATTCCAAAAAAAAAAAAAATTGAAATGAAATGTTAAAAAAAAAAACACTTAACTCTGTGACCAACAATGCCAGCCATTTGGTGTAACCTTTTTATATTGATTTGCAATTTGGAACATGTGTCATGTGTGTTTGCTTACACGTTCGCAGTGCATACATATAGGGTTATATTGCGTCAGTTGGAAAGATATGAGCATGTGTGTATGTATTCTTACATGGACATGAGTTGGTTTATAAAAAATACTCATGTAGGCTCGTTTATTTTTCTTCGTGTATGTCATAGATCTTGTCATTAACCTAGAGAAGAGTTGCTATTAAAAGAAAGGCTATAAAATTTATGTTATCCAAAGATGATGTATAAAATTTAAACGGAGCTATCATAAGGGTTCAGTTTTTTAGATAAAATAAAAGAAACGTAGGCTTTTTATAACTCGAATTCTCCCGGTTTTCGAAATTGGCGCCCGAATGATTTAAAACATGGTTTACTGCTTCTCTGAAATCTCCATTAGCTATGAAAAGATGGCAATTTTTTATGCAATAATAAGCAACATGCAAGACAAATGCATGAATGTACCACAGTTTACACTATTTTTGTGGTGAATTTTGTATAAGCATATGTAGACTTATAGTAGGTGTACATTGTACATGATTTTATAGACAGTCGACAGTTCATTTAAATGGTCAGTACCATTGTATGTCTATCCAATGAATCCTCATAAAGTAGGTTTAAAGTACATTTACATATACGATTTTAAATCGGCACGATTAACGAAATCCAGATACACCCAAATTGTTTAATCATGATCTAAATGTCGATCATCGTGTAAAGAAATTTGTTGCTTCACACATTCCCATTAGGAAATTGAAGTAAATTGTAAACCAGAGGGCAAACGAACTTCTGTTACGATCCTCTGTTGTAGATCCACCATGAGCCTTGACTAGGAAAAATTTGCTATAAAGACCGAATCTGTATCCCCTTCCAACTGTGACTCCATAAACAAATTGTTGGCTTATATTAAGCCATTTTTCCATGTTTTCGAAAATGGCGCCCAAATGGTTTAAATCTTTGTTTAGTACATTTGTGAGAGCCCCTTAACATTAACTAAGCAAAAATTGCCTCATTTCTTTTTTTTCGTGCAGGATTTATACTTTTTTTTTAATTTCTAAGGGTTTAGACGACGTAAGTAATGAAGTGAAGTTGAAAATACTTTTGTCGTAATATGACAATGATAGCCGTTACGGTTAATAAAATAAATATATAGATTCTCGCTGACTCCCAAGAACCATCGCTGATTATTACTAACCCCCATTTTTACGGTTTTTTTGAAATTGGCGCCCGAATGTTTACAAATAAAAGTGAATTCCTATATCAGCTGAAGTTTTTTTTTATAATTATAAAGAAATATCAGAGTTGTAATTGGAGTTTGTTGTCAAAAAAATAAATATATAGATTCCCACTGATTGCAAAGAACCATCGCTAGCTATTACTAATCTACATTTTCAGGTTTTTGTTTTCTTTTTTTAATTGCCGCCCGAATAATTACAAATAAAAATGAATTCCAATATCAGCTGAAGTTTTTTATTATTAAATGTTAAATAATAAAGGAATATCAGAGTTGTATTTGGGGGTTTGTTGCCGTCCTCCTTTTTCTCTTACATTTTACAAAATTACCTTAAATGAAGCAGACCTGAAATCTTTTTATGTGTCCTCCCCTATAGGTATAAATATTTATGTAATTCTGTGGCCGTCATTTTGCGGTTATTTTTTAATCTGTCCCCACTGTCTCCAAAGAACCGTGGCTGGCTATTAACCCATCCACCTTTTCAATTTTTTTGAAATTGGCGCCCGAATGATTAAAAATAAAAGTGGAACCTAATAGTTTATTATTATTAAATGTTAAATATCAGAGTTGTATTTGGGGTTTTTGCCATTCTCTTAACTAACCTAAATAAAGCATGCCTGAAATCTGTTTAAATGTCTCCCCCTTTAGGTTAAAGTTGCCATTTAGTGGCCGTCATTTTGGGCTTTTTCAATCTGTCCCCACTGTCTCCAATGAATCATCACAGGCTATTAACCCACCCACATTTTAACAATTTTTGAAATTGGCGCCCGAATGGTTAACAATAAAAGTTAAATCCAGTATCAGCTGAAGTTTTTTAATTATTAAATGTTAAATATCAGAGTTGTATTTGGGTGTTTGTTGCCATTCTATGAACTAATCCCTTTAGGTTAACGTTTTATGTCATTCTGTGGTCATCATTTTGTGGTTTTTTTAATCTGTCGCCAATTTTTATTTTGAATTTTTTTTTTTTTTTTGATAGTGACACCAAAAAATCACTTTTATTTCTTTTGAAATGAAACTAACTCTGAGTCATGCCGGCTTCTTACTAATTTATGACACAACATAATGACTGTAAACATAATACGGAATTTGGTAAACAAATATTGGAGAAAAGGAATCACAACTTTACAAAATTAATTAAATTCATAAATCATTTTTTACAAATTCCATAGATTTCTAAAAATAGATCGGCATTTCTTTTTTTATTTGAAATTAAAATTTTACCCTTCCGCCATACGTCAAAATATACGATTTGATGAAAAAAAAATTACCAAAGGTCAATTTGAAAATTATAACGAAACTAAAAATTTGCATATATTCATTTATTTAAAATAAAAAGAAACATCAACGCCAAAAAATCCCCTCACACGGTGTGCCCTCTTAACAGTAGAGGCAGCAAGAAAAATAACAACAAAAATCCATGTTCAAATCATTGTAGATATACAGGTGGTCGTTTTTTTTTTTGTTTATCAATCATCATGGGCGAAGATAAGAGAGATACCTCAAAATACCTTCACAAATGGTGGGAATTTAAGTAGCTTCTTTTAAAATTGTTATTGTTTTTTTCATCACTTCTTTTTTTGTTGTTGTTCTTCATTTTCAAATTAGAGATTTTATGAATTGCCGGTTTTCAGTTAGCGTGTTTTGTTATTGTACGCTAAGCTGCTACTAAAGTTCGTTTATTATTATTTTTTTGAAAATATTTTCGGGGATTTTTTAGTGACGCGAAAAGTAGGAAAAGAAAACAACAAAACATTTTTTTCATGGGTAATGGGTGTGAAATATTTTGGTATTGTTTATATTTCTAATATTTTCTTTTTTGCAGTAATTATATTATTTGTAGTTTTCTTCTTCTTTTTTTGTTTAATTATTTAATTTGATAATGTTTATTGTGTGTTTTAATGATTTATGGATCATAGAAACAAGATACCGACAAAGGTATACAGTTTAAGGGCGCTTTTACACAGTATGAAAAGTAATCATTTTATGAAAATCATAACGGTACATGTTTAGTGTAAATGCACTACTAGGTCGCTTTTACACCGATGATGTTATTATTGGTCTGTTTCCGTACTGCATGAATTGATTATTTTTTTTATATCATAAAGAAAATCGTAGTAACGGGAACTCTACTGAGTAGGGGAACCCCCCTACTCTACTATTGAGTAGGGGGGTTCACCATACACGATGATTACGTGAGTGTTTTGAATAGAAACAAGATACCGACAATGGTATACAGTATAAGGGCGCTTTTACACCAAATGACAAATGATTATTTTATGAAAATCATAACGGTACATGTTTGATGTAAATGTACCACTAGTGCGCATTTACACTGAAGGTGTTATTATTGGCCTGTTTCCGTACTGCATAAATTAACTATTTTTTTTAATATCATAGAAAATCGATACCGGGAACAAAGGTATACTAGTTTGAGTAGGGGGGTTCACCATACACATTTAAACGATGATTAGATGATTTTTGTTTACA